ATTTCCTCCCTTGTATGAGCTTTGGGTTTGTCCTGCTCTTCTTTTTCTAGAAGCTTGAGGTTGAGCATCAGGTTATTTAATTGGGCTCGCTCTGTTTTCCTAATATGAGTATTCACTGCTATGAATTTCCCTCGAAAGACTGTTTTCATTGTGACCCATAGATTCCAAAATGTTGTATTGTCATTTTCATTTCATTGAAGGAACTGTCTGATTTCTTCTTTAATTTCCTCTGTGACCCATTGGTTATTTAGAAGTGTGTTGTACAATTTCCATGTGTGTATGAAATTCTTGTGGTTTCTTTTGCTATTGATCTCCAATTCATCACACTGTGGTCTGATAATATACAGGTGATAACTTTAATTTCTTTGCACTTATGTTCTATGAGTGAGTATGTGGTCTATTTTGGAGAACAACCTCTGTGCAGATGAAAAGAATGCGTATTCTGATTTTGTGGGATGGAACACTCTGTAAACATCTGTTAAGTTCATTTGTTCAAGAGTATGATTGAGTTCTGCATTTTGTTCTTTATTTTTTGTCTAGTTGATCTATCTATTTGTGACTGTGGGGTATTGAGGTCCCCCACTACTATTGTATTAGTGCTTACGATTTTTCATGTCCGTTAGTATTTGTTTTAAATAGTTGGGTGCACTAGTCTTTGGAGCATAAATATTTATGATTGTCATCTCTTCCTCTTGGATTGTTATCTTTACAAGGATGTAGTGTCCTACTTTGTCTCTCTTATTCAGTGTTGGTTTGAAATCCACTTGATCTGCAAAGAGGATAGCCACTCCTGCTTTTGGAGGGCTTCCTGTTGCATGGAGTATTGTTTTGCATCCTTTAACTTTCAGTCTATGAATTTCTTTTTGAATTAAGTGTGTTTCTTATATGCACCATATTGTTGGATCTTGCTTCTTGACCCATTCTGCCAGTCTATTTCTTTTGATTAGTGAATTGAGACCATTAACACTTATAGTTATAACTGATACATATTGGCATCATTGTCATGATTTTTTCTTTTTGTTGGATTCTCCCCCTTTGCATTTAATTTCTTGTCATGCCAGATGGGTTCATTCTGCTGGGCTTCTGGGGTTGTGATCCTAATTGTCTTTTCCTAGAATATTGTCTAAAATTTTTTGGAGTGCTGATTTGGTATTCATGAAATTCCTCAGGTGCTCTCTGTCATGAAAGTACCTTATTTCTCCATCAATTTTAAAAGGTAGTTTTGCAGGGTACATCAATCTGGGTTGGAGGCTGTTTTCCTTTAGGGCTTG